CTGCTGAGAAGGAAGCTCTTCTGGATCCCTGGCCTTTGACAAGTGACCCGCTTCTCCCCTCGGGGGGCCCTTTCATCCACCCACACGGAAATGGCCTCATCGCCACATGGTGCCGGTGTGACCTGCGACCCCGCCTCTCCTGCAGCCCTGTGACTCGGCGGACCTCGCGGACCGGACTGCTCCTCGCGTTTCCTCAGCTTTTTCCTCCTGCTTTCCAGCTCGTCGCCTTGTTCTCCTACTTTTCAGATAAACCTTCTAAATTTTATCTCATAAAATCTGCTATTTAGATTTTCATTTAACTCTTGGGTATTTCTAACTTCCAGAAGTTTGTTGTTTCTCATTTTGAAAAAATTTAAAGTCTCTTGCTTGTGCTTTGCTGTTGGAAGTCCGTCCTTGTCTCTTTGAGGACGCCGTGTTTTGGAGGTTCCCTGCACTCTGGTGGCCTGCGCCCTCCAGGTGCGTTTTTCTACTTGTTGCTCTGGCTCCCTGGTCACAGCCAGCAGTGGGTCCTTCTGGCCTGTCAGCTCAGCCCAGGGTCCGGCCGGCTGCCTCTGCGGGCCTCCGGGGTCAGTGCTTTCGGGTCTCCTTCTGAGGTGGTCAGGCTCCAGAGGGCGAAAGGGGTGGGCGGGGGCGTCTGGGCATCCACCAGCCTCATCCCTCGGCTCCGCTGCCGGCTCTCATCCTGGATGGGCCCTGTCCACACCGTCTCCGGAGCCGCAGCTTGCAGACATGGGGGAGGACGTGGGCTGCCCACAGAACCAGCCGCCAGAGTCGCTGCCCCAGAACCCCGCGAGTTCTCACCCCGCAGGCCTGAGACGGCGCCCGAGGACCTGCATGGCCCACATGTTCCTGGGGAGCCTGCTGCCCGCCTGGGAACCACCCCTTGGGAATGGCTGCTCCAGGAGAAGAAACCGCTGTGCTGACTTCCATTTCTCACTTCTGCTGGGACAGAGGCCACGGCCCACCACGAAGAGTCGGGTGAAGGTCTGGGAACCTTCCTGCCCCTTGATCACACCCCGAAGCAAGCGTCCTTAATCCTCCTGAGCTCAGCCGGTCACGCCCCTCCCCCAGCACCCCTTGCTGCCAACTCTGGGCCTTTGGGGAGGTTTGTGGCATAAGCCAGCGTGGTTCCTGGCTTGACTGCAGCTGCTTAGATTCCGTTTTCCTGAGCTTGCTCTCACCATTAGGCCACCCGCCCACCAACTGCCCGGACTCCAAAGGTTTGCCGCTGCCCCTCTTGCAGTGGGGCCTCAAGGAGGCCGGTCCGCCTGGCTGTCTCCGCCTGGATGCCCACAGCGTCTGGGGGCACGTGTCACGGCGCCCTTGTGAGGCTCCGAGCAGCTGTGTCCCCAGAGCTGAGCACAGAGCCACCGGTCGGAAGGAGTGACAGACCTCACTGGGTAAATGATCTGTCGCGTTAGACGGTACACGTCCTTTCAGAGAGTAAAGAGCCACCTCGAGGTGCCCGCGTCTGCATTTTCAGCTTGTGAATTTGTCAAGGACACACAGGCCGCTCGAGGAGAGGGGCTGGAGCCGTGGCTGGAAGGAACACGGGGAGAAAACAGTAATGCGGGCCTGGAAACCACAGCTCGGCCACCCAGTTGCTGAGGACCCTGTAGGAGGCCTCTCCTGGCTTTCATCAAGGAGGGCGGGACGCTGGCCCCCCGCCCCCCCCCCCACGGCAGTCTTTGCGGCTGAGCAAGGGTCTGGCTGCAGAACTGACACGGGGGCACCTGGGCAGCCAACACCGCCAGTCCGAGCGGCATGGGGGGCTCTTGTTTCTGCCCCAGGAATGGAAGGCCTGTGCTTTCCAGGCGGGGATGCCAGGACCCTCTCCATCTGGCTGCTGCCGATGAAAACTGAAAAGTGAGGAGGCTGTGTAGGAGCGCCAGCTGAATGGCCAGGAGAGCAAAGCAGCACCCCGAGGGGGGCACGCGGGGGTCCTGAGCTCTGGGGGCCTCGCGCTGCGGCAGTAACCGTCTCTGCTCCGACCTGCAGGAGGGAGAGAGCTCTGTCCTGGGCACGCCTCTGCATGTTTCTCGTCGTGGTCGTGTCTGGATGCTCTGATCCACAGAGCCAGCCCTGCACAGAGGCCACCGCCCCCTCTGAAGACAAGATGGGAGAGGCCGGCGCAAGGTGTGAACGGGCATGCGCGTGCATGTCCGCAGGAGGGCATGCACTTCACATGACACATCTGTGCTCACCGTCCATAAGCCCAGCACGCAACCTCGGGAGAGCAACTGAAGGGCAGCTGCAATCCTGTAAAACCAAGAGGCGCAGAGTTCAGGTGGAGGGTGGCAAACCCCACTGATTCCGCACCGTGGGGTCACAGCTGAAGCCACGACGGTGCACGGACGCCCCATCTCACAGAGGACACTGGGCCGAGGGTCCTGGGACCACGACGCGCTCAGGATGCCATGGGAAGGGGGACAAGATGGACAAGGACGGAACAGCACCAGGGAGCAGGGATGGAGCGTGGCTCCCGCAGGACGGCCGGGCTCAGCCTTGCGGTTGAGACCCTGCAGCTTTGGCGCGGGTGGCGTAGGGAGCGCACAGCTGGGGCTCAAACTCAGGCCTGGCTGACTGAGCGCTTGGCCTCACAGAGTCCCTGTGCGCCAGGTGCTGAGGGCGGCCTCCCACCTCCATGGTCTCATGGGGCGGTGACCACTGACCTCAGGCACTTCGAGAAAGGCTGGTTCCACGCAACGTAGACGGTGGAAGCAGATGGGCCGGAGGGGGGCTACAACTATGACCCTGGCAACGGGCGATACACAGACCCCTGCTCCAGACAAGAGGACGGCTGCACCCACTTCCCAACTCCAACCGCAGTGGGCACGCAGGAGGAGATGACAAACATGGGAAGGGGAAGTGGGGAAGGGCTTCCCAGCGGAAAAGCCACTCAGAAATGCACGTGGCAAATGGCAAGAAAACAGCAGCCTGGCCCTCTCAACGCAGACACCTCTGCAGACATCACCGAGGGGGCAGCGAGCAGAGCCCTCCTCCCAGGCACCCGTGGGCAGTAGCGCTGGGCACCCTCCAACAGCACAGAGAGGCTGCAGGCGCCCCCTGGGCCCCAGCCTCCCCATGGGGCCGGACTGAGTGACCCCTGGGAAAATGGAGCCTCCAGGGGGGTCCCCTCCCTCCTTGGCACTGATGGACTGGCCTCTCTCTGCACTAGGGTGGGACCTGGTGACCGCGGCGTGCAGGGGACAGGCTCAGCGGTCACTGCACTGCCCTGGAGAGACGAGCTGCGAGGTCAGAGGCTGTGGCCCTGGGTTAGAACTGCAGAGCAGGCAAGACCTGCGTGACAGAAAAGGCAGCTTCCTGGGTTCCTCACAGGCCCCTGCAGAGGGCTCGCTGGGTCCCTGAAATGTACTCAGATGGTGAAAGATGGCCCCCGCTTCCACGGAGCACTGGGTTTACTCACGATTAATGGCACGCGTATAAACTGCTAAACGATACTAACTTGCTTCAGGGGTCAGCAGGGCTCCAGCCATCGGGTCCTCATCGCTCCTGTGTCACCTCCTGCCGCTCTGCAGGCTGGTGCCACCAAGCCTCCCGCACAGCCCCAGAGATGCCCACGGCCTGGCTGCCTGCGCGGGGCTGGACGGACGGACGGACGGACGGACAGACAGACGGACGGGGGCCTACCTGCCACCTCCCTGGACGAGGGCAGCCCTGCGGCGGCCTCCAGGTCGGGGGGGACGGCGCCGCCGGCCTCCAGGGCGTGGACCAGCTCCCGCAGCCGCGCGCACTCCTCATGCAGCCGCTGCCGGTCCTCGTGGAGCCGCTGCCTCGCCACGCCGGCTGGGTTCAGGCTCAGGTGCAGCACCTTGGCTCTGCTCTGGTCGTAGTCCCCCTGTGGGACCACAGGCAGGAGGTCAGAGCCCCTCACGGAGCGAGAGCAAAGGGGAACCCGAGCCCGGCCCGCGGGGTCCCAGCCCCTCTCCCTGGGTGGTGGCCTCCATTAAACGGGGGAGAAAACAGAAAGCCCACCCAACCCATCTTCGGAGCATCGTCAGAACTCAGCACACGAGCCCCCTTCTCTGAGTCTCGTCAAGTACCAGCTACTGGGAGAGAGGTCTCTTCAAAGTGCGGCGCTTTCAGACACCATCAGCAAACACCCCAACGCCTCTGGGTTCTCGCCAGCCTCTCGGCGACCCTCCTGTCTCACGGTCTTTAAGAGTGGGACCCGTTTTTTAAGATTTAAAAACAAACAAAAATACCCAACTTACTAAAACTGTGACGCTACAGCAGAGTCCCCACACGCCTCACACGGTCCCGTTACTGACACGTGACATCAGTGCCGTGCATCCGTTACAGTTCGAAAGCTAACACTGACGCCATCCTAACTAAACTCCCTACTGCCTTCACATTTCCTTAGTTTCCTCCAAATGCCCTTCTCTGTTCCCAGATCCGTCCTGCGGGACCCCACGGGACTTTTAGCTGTCTGGTTTCCGTGGCTCCTCTGGGCTGGTGGTTTCCTGGGCTTTGTTTTGGGTGACCTTCAGAGTGTGGAGGATGCCGCTAGGGTGTCCTGAAGATGCCCTGCTGTCGGGATGTGGCCGACACTTTCCTCACCGTTAACCTGGGGTCAAGGATTAGGGGAGGAAGACCCCAGAGGTTAAGTACCTTCTCATCATACCGTGTGGAGGCTCCCCGCTACCACGGTGACCCTGACCCCTGGCTGAAGTGTGTTTGTCCCCTTTGGAAGGAAGTCACCAGGCACACCAACACCTAAGGAATCAGGGTTACGCTCCCTTCCAAGTTGACGAGACCCTCAACTGTCTGTGGACACATCCCACCTCTTCCCCTCCCGGCTGGTAGGAGCCTGCCAGCCACAGGGGAACAAGGTCAGCATGGCAGAGAGTGAAGGGGGCTGGACATCAGGGGAGGCGTTTGATTAAGTGGGTGCTGAACGGCCTGAAATCCACTCGCAAAACCCAGGGCCCAGAGCAGCTGTGGCGACCTTGTGGGAAGAGGCATCACCGCACGTTACAAATCTGCAGTGACCGAGGCAGGTGCTAAGGGCCAGTGGGGAAAGGACAGTCTCCCCAGTACGTGCTGCTGGGGCAACTGGATGCCCACATGACCTTGACCTTGACCTCACACCACACAAACATCACTCCTGAGTGACGGCAAATCTACACGCAAAGGTTTTAGAAGAAAATATAGGGACGTCTTTGTGACCTGGGAGTAGACAAAGGTTCTTAAACAAGGTTCAAAACGGGCTAAACAAGTAAAAGAAAAAATAAACTGGACTTATAAAAATTAAGAACTTCTATTTATCAAAAGAGTAAAAAGGGAACCAACAGAGTGGGAGATACACAAAACACATAAATCTGACAAAGGACTCACATCCAGAACATACAAAGAGCCCATACAAATAAACAAGAAAGTCAGACAATTCACTTTTTAAAATGGGCAAAAAAACGTGAACAGACACTTCACAAAAGAAGACATCAAAGAGCCAGTAACACGTGAAAAGTAGCTCAAATTACTCACCAAAGACACAGTGACGACCGCAGTGAGATGCCCAGTCGACACTGAACAGATGAGGGTCCAGGGCCTGCAGACCCCATGCTCTCGGAGGGTGCAGGGTGCACCCACTTGGAGGAGACCCTCGGCAGGACCCTGGGATAAGCGAGTGCACGTCCCAGACCAGGAACTGAGAACCGTGACCCATCGCACCCAAATCACACAGGGCGGGGGGGGGGGGGGG